ATGTATGCTGCTAGGTGAGTACTGGACATATAAGGGGAACCATATGTAAAGTATATAACTGTCTAACCACTATGCTGTACACCTGCAACTAATACAAAATAATATTGAATGTAAACTGTAATTAAAAAAATAAAAATAAATAAAAGTAGCTGAAGGGAGCTCTCTCTGTGTTTATATACATTTTGGAACTGAGCATGTATTTCAAAAGTAATAAGAGCCCTGGCTGGTGTAGCTCAGTGGATTGAGCACAGACCTGTGAATGAAAGGGTCACCAGTGTGATTCCCAGTCAGGGCACATGCCTGGGTTGCAGGCCAGGTCCTGGTGGGGGGCACACGAGAGGCAACCATACAATGATATTTCTCTCCCTCTGTTTCTCCCTCCCTTCCTCTCTCTCAAAATACATAAATAAAATCTGTAAAACTGATAGGAGAAAACCTGGGAGACCTTTGCTCACCCAAGACCCCAGGTGCCATAGGAGAACAATAAGGCCATTTAGGAAGAGCAGATAAAGCAGATAGCCAGATAGTCACTAGGACTAGGGCTAGCACCCCCGCAGATAGAACCAATTTTCACATTTAGCCTTTGAACTCTGCTTCTGCCCCGTACGTAGATAGAACTAATCACCGCATTCTGCTTCTGTACCCTGCTTTGCCACGTAGATAGGAAGACCCCTAATCTATATATTCCCCAAGAATCTTTTGTTCGGGGCTCAGAATTTGGAGACTGACTCCTCTGAGCCCATGCACGTAAAAAAGGAATAAACCTCGTACTCCAGAATCCCTCAGTGTCTGGTCGCTTCATTTCCCGTAACAAAACAAAAAAGAAAAACATTTTGAATGACCAATATTTTACTTTGCTTATTCATTAGATTGGTAAACTTTCCATGGCTGTTTTACAGTTTTTAACAATATGGGTCATCATTAGAAAAAGATGAATGGCTCCTTGGAACCCACTCCTATTTGTACCTTGTTTATATTTGAAAAGAAAGCAAGAATATGTTCAACGAGTCAATTTTAATTCTTATCCTTTTACTATCCTGTAGGACACTTGCAATAATTTAACAACAGATGCACAACAGATGCACAACAGCTTGGCTATTTTGTCATGTTTGTGTTACATATTTTCCTAGGTCATACAGATAGAGAACGAAGATATAAAGGTCACTATATTTTATAGGAAATGGCATTTGAAACTGTAATTATAAACCTATAGTGTTCAAATTCACAAAAATATAAACCTATACATGCCCCTTCAAAAACAACATGTTTTTATATTTTAAAAGGTGCTTAAAAAATCATGTCCTTTTCAGGAAATCAGATAAAACCATGTAGATGCCACAAGAAGGTTCGGGGAGGTTCTCCGATGTCAAGAAAGCTGGCAACCCAGGCCAGACCTTTTGGGCTGATCTCTCCATCAGAGGCAGGAATACACAATGCCAAGGTGAGGTATATAAACCACGTGCTGCTGTCATTGAAAAAAACCAAACCATAATTTTTAAGAAACGGTTTAAGCTCATGTGGAATTAACAGGAAGCCTGGCCTTTTCTGGAAGCAAACTGATAAAAAAAAAAAAACCCACCTGTTTTATGAGATATCCTGGCTTTGTCTGTGTGCCCGTGGGCAGGTAACAATCTTTCTCAGCTTTACTTTCCTCACCTCAAACATGCTGGCAAGGTGGTTGTAAAGATTCCATGAGATGCTCTATGTAAAGGGCCAGGAATCCAGCAAATGTAATGATGGAACATCCTTTGCCCTTCCTCTGCCTGGCTAACTTTTAAGATTTGCCTGAAGGGTCACAGCCTCTGTGAAGCCCTCCCTGATGCCTCCAGGGCCCTGCACCCCCACCTCTTCAGCCTCTTGAAATGTAAAACGACTGCTGGCTCTTGGCATTGGCACTCCCCCCCCCCACCGCTTGTGTGGGTCCCACAGATGGTGTCTTGGTGATGTCTTTGCCCCCAGCACGTGGCAAAGTGTAAAGCAATGTGCAATCATTACCACATAGCCTTTCTGATAACACACAGTGACATCTCTGGAAACCCAGTTCTAAACAATATTGCAAATGAGATTATATGAAGTTGTTATGGGTTCTGCCTTCAAATTCTGGTCTCTTATGAAAGCCAGAAAGGCGCCTTGTGTATTCTACGCCCTTACAGTAAATACCTCTGAGACAGAAAAGTATTTGAGTCAATCGCTTTGCATTTACTGGTAAGTTATAAATAACAAAGCAATCTGACCCAAAAGATGAAGGCCCGGCCCTTGCAAAGGCGATGGAGCCCTGCCAGCCGCAGGCTTCCTGACTGGTCCTTGGAAATGGAAATAGGGAATGAAAGGAGCCTCTGATCACGGGAAAGGCTGGGAAGGAGACAGAGCTGCGATTGTACCAACTTTTGATCTAAAAGAAGTGACATGGACAAAAGGGGAGTGATGTGGGCAAACCCATGAAGAGAGCCTTTCTGCATTCAGGTATAACAACTGATGTTTGTGCCCCATGCTGAGCGATTCCCGTAACCATGGCAACCAGGGTCCAGGCTATACTCGCATTGTGCAGTGTTTATTTTTCATTTTGGGCCACAGGTAGGGAATTTGGGGTTGGTAGTATTTTATGAAACACCCATTTACAATATTGCCAATATAGGGAGGGAAAAATCGCTTTTCTTCTACCCACTTCTATATTCTTGGCTGAGGCTCTGTAACATAAGAAAAATTAACAAGAAGAAAGCACATGTACTTACTTAGTGTAAGTTTTACATGACATGGGAGCCTTCGTAAGGAAGTAAATATCCAAAGAAACGGTTAAACCCAAGTGGTTTTGTACTGGGTTTCTTAGAGGGTGGAAAACCATGGGAACCTGTGATAGGGCAAAGGATATGAGCCAAGGGTAGTAAAGTGGGGGAAACCTAGCGAGGCCCGTTTGCTCAGCCTCGCTTGATCTGTAGACACAAGAATGGCTTTTCCCTTGTCTGTGGGGAGGGCACCTCTCACTTCAGAGGTCCTATGACCTGCTTCAGGGAAAAGGGAGGAGATCAGAGAGTCTTTCCTGCAGCCGCCATTTCTCAATTCCTTCGGCTTAAAATATCCTATCTGCCAAGGTGCCATGTTTTGGGGTAGCATGCCCTGAAACCCATCATCAAGGACTTTCTCAACTATAAGGATAGAGGGAGAGCTGTCTTTGTGCACTTGTGTTTGAAACCAGGGCCATGAAATTTGGGTCATAAGGCCACGTAACTGGTGTCCCTGCTTCCCTGTCCTTGCTTCCCTCCCCATTGAACTTAACATACCATCCTCCTTAAAGGTCATTCCAATGTTATCACTACTGACTCCCTAGCTTCCATGGCTTCCCAGCAGGCTTGGAAAAACTCCCAAGTCCTTATCGCGACTGCCAAGGCCTTCATGAACGCAGCGGCTCTTTGACTTCACCTCCTTCCCCTTGGGACTCCGCCTCAGCCCCAGCGGGCCCCTGTTGGTGACAGACACCCTCAGTCTCGGGGCCTTTTCCTGTAAAAGTGATTTTAAATTAAATAAAGGATCCTTACCCACAAGCAATTATTCTTTTTTTTAAAAAAAAAACACCCTTTATTTTTAGGGAATAAGAAATAGGATGTGAAAGAATAATAATCTATGCCTAGAAAATGTAATGCTATCTCATTGGTTAAAAAAGGAAACACAGAACCCAGAGCACTATTTGTAAAATAGTTGGAAAAGTCAGTAACAAAGTTAATACAGAAATGAGAAAGACCACTGACATTTTTACATCTTGGAGTATAAAGGAATTTCCATTGCAGGTGCTTTTGTTTAAAATTCAGTTTGTAAAATTCCAGTATAAATAAAAAGTACCCACCCAAAAAACCCCAAACATCAAACACACTCACAAAAAAAAAACCAAAAACCCTAATTCAAAGCAAACACTGACATGAACTAATCACACTTGGTTTTCACATACTGTGCTCTTTTGTACCCACTGAACAGTTTTTTAGATCATTCCAAGTCACGTGAAACCACACTTCATGAAACTTGAAGTTTTAGGTGACTTTGCAAGTTTCTCTTGAAAAGACTAACATAGCAGCCTAGGAAGGATCAGGGAGAAAAGAGATCTAAATAGAATTCACACTTGATGGCCTCAAGCTGGTGTCTTCAAAACCACTTGAATGCATGAAGATATTTTAGTTCTTGAGCACCTTTGGGGGATTCTGTCAATGAGGTAGGTAAACTGTGCATGCTCGTAGGCTTTCAGAATTCAGGCAGAGCGTGTTAAAAAAAGTTAGGAGACCCTGGCTGATGTAGCTCAGTGGATTGAGTGCGGGCCTGCGAACCAAAGGATCACAGTTCCAGTCAGGGCACGTGCCTCGGTTGCAGGCCAGTTCCCAATGGGGGACACACGAGAGGCAACCACACATGGATGTTTCTCTCCCTCTCTCCTTCCCTTCCCCTCTAAAGATAAATAAATAAAATCTTTTTTAAAAAAAGGTAGGAGAAGTCATGAAAATGTGTAGGTTGTATAGGTTTGTAGATAACTCAGAAGTAAACTTGTTAAAGCTACTGCAATTAACATTCCATGAATTTTTTAAGAGAAAAAAATGAGCTGTAATCCCACAGAAGGCTTGTTGTGTTGAAACAATGATATGATTGGTTAAACACTGTAAGACCTCAAAGAAGTCATTTCCTATTCAATTCATTTATTAGAGGAATGTTGGCAGACTCAAAGGCTGAAGTGATGAACTTCCTGACAGTTTAACCCCTGTCTTTACATAAGCAGAATTGGAACTTCAGGCCCCGAGGGGTTCAGAGGACACCACTGCGAGATTAGGATCATTTTGAGCTGAAAGCACATGAGAAAAAGCAGACAGAGGATGAGCTCCCTGTCCTTTCCAAAAGCAGAACATAAATCTCCCTCCCAAATGTTGTACCAAGAAGGAGAAAACAACCTTATCGCCAGAGAGGAGAAGGCGCTGCAAAGAGTCTACACGAACAAACCTGACTAAATAACTTATCATCTTCCACTAGGTCCCTCATGTATCTACTTTCCCAGCTTGCTGCCCCTAGAAGCCTAAAGCCCCTTTGCTTCCTCTTGTTACTACTTCTCTACAAATTTACTGTTCTTTGTTTTCTTCAAGATGTTATTTATTTATTTTTAGAGAGAGGGGAAGAGAAGGAGAAATAGAGGGAGACAAACATTAATGTGTGGTCATCCTGCCTCTCACATGTCCCCTACTGGGGACCTGGCCCGCAACCCAGGCGTGTGCCCTGACTAGAAATCCAACTGGTGACCCCTTTGCTTCCCAGGCCCGTGCTCAACCCACTGAACTACACTGGCCAGGGCTGTTTTTGTTAAGGCGCCAACTTCTGATGACACCTTTGCATTATCCATCACTGAGTTTGTCCTACATGTATAATAAACTGGTTTTCTCTTGCTAACCTGCCTTTTGTCAGTCTGATTTGCAGCCTCCCAGCTACAGAGCCTAGCAGGGCTTTTGCCCTCCCCTACAGCCCTACCATACATGCCCTTGAGAACACGAAGACTCCCTAACATCAAAAACAAAATGTCACAGTTGAAGAGTTGATATGCCTTGGAGAACTTTGCAAAGAAAAAAAAATACATGACTCCTTCCACTCATCTTAAGGACTCAAAACAAAATACTGTAGGATTAGTTATAGGCTAACTTTTGGAGCTTAAGGGAGACCTTTAAAATGAGAAAAGAGGGGGAAAGGACAAAACTCTGGTTACTGAATGTTAGCGCCTAAAGGCACTATTCATTAAGTTCCCTGTCTCCAGGAGCACATTGCTCAGAGGTCAATTCGGGGGCAGTCTCTGCCAATGAGTTCAGAGGAAGAAAATCTGGGAGCAGTTCGAGTCAAGCCCTCTATGGCTGTGCAGCCTGGGCAAGTCACGGCACCTCGGGGGATCTGTTTCATCATCTGTCAAGTTGACAGAACAGTCTTTTCTCGCAGCTGTGAAAAGAACCACATGAGAGCCTCGGATGAGCAGTGCTCAACTCTGGGGGCATCTGAAAAGAAGTTGAGGACATAAAAAAGAAATGTTGACACCTGGGGTACAGCCCATAGATTCAGATGTCACTGTGCAAGGGTGGGCCTTCTGCCTCGGTGGGGTTTCAAACCTCCCCAAATGATTCTGATATGCAGCCCCGACAGTAGCACTTCTCAAACTATTGGACCGGATTGTGTGGGGATGTTGCAGGAAAATGAAGCGACCAGACACCAAGGGTTTGTGGAGTACGAGGTTTATTTTAACGTGCATGGGCCCAGAGGAGTCAATATCCAAATTCTGAGCCCGGAACAAAGGATTCTTGGGGTTTTTATAGTCTATAGGGTCTTCTTGTCTACGTAGCAAAGCGGGGTACAGAAGCGGAATGCGGAAGTTAGTTCTAGCTATGGGGCAGAAGCAGAGGACAAAGGCTAAATTTGAAGGTCAGTTTTTAACAGCAGGGGTGTTAATCTCAGCCCTAGCTAATGCACTGTTGTTTACTTATCCTAGACAGCCCCATCATTCTCCTTAGGCGCCTGGGATCTGGGCAAATAAAGGTTACACAGAGGTTCTTCAAAGCTTCCCATATCAGGGATCCTGCCACAATGCAGGTGCGGATTCAATAGCTTGGGGCCTGAGAGCCTGCATTTCTAACAGACTCTGAGGTTACTCTGAGCTCCTCTCAGCCACTCTGAGGATAGCGAAGTACTAATGAGGCCACAAAGCACAATGAGGTCATCCACTCTCCATCCAAACCATCAACTTTGCGGCAGTGGTGTGAACTTCAACAAACGACTTTCTTTCCTTTTTTTAAAGCTTTTCATTTATTTATTTTTAGAGAGAGGAGAAGGAGGGAGAAAGAGAGGGAGAGAGAAACATCCATGTGTGGTTGCCTCTCCTGTGCCCCGCACTGGGGACCTGGTCTGCAACCCAGGCATGTACCCTGACTGGGAGTCGAACAGCGACCATCTAGTTCATGGTCTGGTGTTCAATCCACTGAGCCACACCAGCTGGAGCTCTTCCCTTCTTTTTAGGGTTGTTTTAAGAACAATGTGTGTAAGATTTTAAAAACAAGCATAGGAGGGTGACATGAATAAAAGATGTCACTCCTGTCACCTGTGGTGGAGAACGTTTCTTTACAATTACAAGCACACCCAGCTGCTGTGGTACCACTGCTCCCCGCACTCATTACAGATCACATAGGTCATCATGTCTTCATCTGGGTTTGATTTCCGCACCCAGCTTGGAAGGAAAAGTGTCCCTCTGGCAATGACAGTGACTCTGCAATTGAACTTCTCGCAGCGTCTGCATTTTATTTTCCACGTCTGTGTGCCCTCGGCCCCTTGTGGGAGGCAATGCTCCTGTATGCCAGATTCGGTATAGGAAGCTCTCAACTGCTTCAGTTCCTTGCTTGCCATTTGCATTGGGGTCATTTCGGCAAACTCTCTTGGCGACACGGTCCCGGAGAGCAAGTTTTGTTGTAAGTGAGAATTCTGGGGGTTCTTCAGATTGGCCACTTTGCTTCTGATACAAGTTTTATATTTCTTGAGATTCTTCGAATAAAGGGTGAAAATGTGCTCTTCTATTTCCCTTGCAAAGTTCTGCCACGATTCGGCCTTGGGCTGCTCTGTGGAAGAACTGGTCAGAGCTTCATAAAGAAGCTCCGTGCATTTAGTTCTCATGGCCACGACAGGATCCAGCAACTCACCTGCTCTCTTGTCAATGGATTTCGGGCCACCGGCCCTGACATACTCTTCCTGAGGTTCCATTAGATTAGGGCTGTTTTCAGGTGCAATCATTTTGGTGGCTTTGGCCCTAACATCTTGGGACAATAGCAGGGGATCAGAACTGGAACCACCCAATGTCTCATCTTGACTTGAGTCACAGGAAAGTCCTGAGTTTTTGTTATTTCCCCCTACCGGGCAGAATGTGGGGTCCCTTGGTTTGAAATGAGGATCCTTATAAAGAGCTTTCCACTCCGAGAGCAAACACTTGGCTTTCTTTTTCAAAGCCACCGTGGGGCAGGTTTTGAGGACTCTGTACACAGCCCTGACCACATCTGTCTGCTGGAGATGCTCCCTAGTCACGTGTAGAGCTTCTAGCCCAGTCAGGTGGTCGCCAAGATCCTCAAAGTTCCTTTCAGACACCAGCTGCTCAATGAGGGTAGCTCTGGCAGCTATCTGGGTCTTGTCAGACATTTTCACAGCTGCAAAGAAAAAAAAAGAGTTTTCCATTTTCTTAGGCTTGCGTTTGCCAGTCACAGCTTCCTGATAGTAGCATAGCACTTTCTGCTACTCAGTGCTTTCTAAAGGAGTTACATAATAAAAGTGGGTGCGACACATTAGAAAGCGGGATGTACAGTGTGGCATGGTTTAGTTTCCAAAGTTTGATTCTTAGTCATTTTTTACAAAGGACACTGCAAATGGCTTCTGCATTAACCGCTTCATAAAGGAGGCTTGCTGGAAGACCTGCTATAACTTTTGCCACCTCCAATTTTACAATCGATGAGCTTCCAGGATCAAGATTAGTCAGTTCCTTTGCATGCATGGAATTTAGTGGTCACACTGGGGATGAAATCAGGCCAGTGTCCACATCCGTGGGGTACAGCTGAGCGAGGCTGGACTACCCCCCCCCATAATCAGCTACATACTAGAACTACTGACTGATTTTATAATTTTTACATGATACATTCATGAATATGAAAGAATGAGAAACAGGGCACAAGGGGATGCTGTTTAGATGTCCCAAGGAATCTAAAGAAGTTGTGAGCTAGCACAGGTGAGGAGGCAGTCGGAGCCAGGTCCGATGGGCCCCAAAGCGTTCAACAGGCCCCACTGTGCTTACATCTAAGTCTTCTGAACAACAGGGTGAAGGTTCAGACTAAGCAATCCGGAGGACTTACGACTTTGGACTAACTGGTCCCTAGGCCAGGGTTCAGTGCTGTCAACTTTTTTCTTTTTTTAACTTTTTAGGTGCAAAAGGTTGCTCGATGACTACATCTGTGTGCATCTCATCCTGGGCAGGCAAATGTTTACTTTACCTAACCAGTCTATCTTTCTCTCCACGTCCTTACTAAATGTACAGAACCTTGCCTACATGATGCCTGGGGATCTGTATCCGCCCATCTGGTCTGCACGTGAACATGAGCGTCCTGATGGCAGGGACCCTGTCTTTTAAAAAGTTCACGGACTCCCGTTTTACAGCACTTGATATGAAATACCCAGCGCTGAAGATCCCCAGAGTAAGAACACTGAGGTGATCACAGAGGGAACGAATGTGATCAGAAACCATCTGCCAAGTGCTGTAAAGTGTGATGTGCTTTTTTGGTTAGCAAATCCACTACTATAAACTTACTTTCAGGAAATGACAGATGCAGGGGCTGTAAAGGTAAGCCTTATCTTCAAACGGAGAAGAAACTAGAAGGTCCCAAATGGTTAAACTTGCACACGAATGATCACAGAAACATTATCCATACCAGACAAAAAGCAGAAACCACCCAAATGTCCATCAATGGTGAATACACCACTGATGAATACACAAAATGTAGTGTAGCCATACAATGGAATGTTATTTGGCAATAAAAACAAATGAAATTTTGATACATACTGCAACATGGATGAGCCAGAGCACTACGCTAAGTCAACGGCACAGAAGACCACACGGGGTATGATTTCGTTTTCCGAAATGTCCACAACAGGCAAATCCATAGAGACACAAAGTATATTAGTGGTTGGCTATAGCTGGGCAGGGGGATGAGTGGGGAGAATGGGAAGGGAGTGGCTTTTCCTGGGTGAGGTGAAAAACCTTCTCTAAAGCTGACTGGGGTGATGAGCTGCCACGAGCTGTCCAACTGTTAATGTACTAAAACCTACACAAAGCATTCAAATGAACCATCTTAACCCTTTCTCAAGTATACAGTGAAGTAACGTCGAGTGCATTCAGTGTTGTGCAACCAACCTCCAGAACTCTCATCCTGTACACTAACATGCACACTTTAAATAGGGGGATCGTATGGCATACAAATTACATCTGAATAAAATGGATACGTACACACAACATATAGAGTCTGAACCAAATTTTACTTCAAAATCACACGTGAAAGGCTGAAAATAGATACATGACATTTTAGACTGCCATTTTCTGAATGGCAAGATTAAGGTGATTTTTGTTTGTTCTCTTACTCTTTTCCGTATTTTTTTATGGTGAGTGTGCTATTATTTTCATAATCAGGAAAGTTATTAGTCTGCTATAACTTCGTGACAAAGTCTATAGACATTTAAGATATGTGCCTGTTGAAAAAACGGCGACGAAAATGGATAACCGACCCTCCCCTCTGGAACCAGACACTGGAAAGGTGCTCCGTCACCTGGGGCTCTGTGTTCGGATGGGGCTCATTCACAATGACCTCAGAAGGCTATTGCTGGCACTGAAACAGTTGACTCTCCCCCTCAAACTTTACCACCAAATAGAAGAATTAAGTACCCTTGGCCACAGCTATGAGGTTCCTCCTGGTATTTCCCTGTAGGTCAGCTCAAGAATGACCAAGATTCTGAGTCTTGCATTTTTTAAAGATTTTATTTATTTACTTATTTTTAGAGAAGGGAAGGGAAGGAGAAAGAGAAGGAGAGAAACATCCATGTGTGGTGGTGATACAGGGTGCAGCGAGGGGGGGCCCCAAAAAAACAGATTTGGAATGGTGTCCAGAATTCAAAGTGTATAGGAATATTGGAGAGACATATTAAGATGTCCTCACGGTCCCCCCCCCCCCAGGGGGAAGGGATGAATAGAGCCAGGGCCATTGAGAGCTATTTTGCATAGCAACAGTTTTGGAGCTAACCTCTGGAGGAATGGTTATTTAACATATCTATAACCTTTAACTGGTTTCATAGATATGTTAAATAGCAGTGGCCAAGTTTGGAGCCAGGAAGAAGGGAGTAGCAGGGACTGAGGATGGAACTTGGCAGGGACTCAAGATGGGAACTAGGGTCTGCGCTCCGGAGTGAGAAGGGCTTGGACTCAGGATGTAACTAGGGGCTGCGCTCCGGAGTGAGAGCGCCTAGGTGAGAGCTTGGAAAAGACTGGCTCCAGGACATGAGGCGATAACTGCCCAGGTGAAAGGGAAAAACCACGCAGCTTTGCCAGAATGGAGATCCCTGCAGCCAGGTGAAGAAGACAGCCACATGCTTTTGGTGGAGTGCGGACTCCTGCAGCTTTGGTAGAAGAGGCCCACGCGGCTTTGGGGTGCCCCCTTTGGCCGCGTGGCCTGAAAAAAAGCAAGAGAGACTTTGACTGGAACTGGGTACAAAGGACTCTTGCCAGTGGACCATGAGAGGGTACCACGGTACTTTGGATTAACTCGAGATCCTGCACAGTGACACAGCTGATGGCACCAGCGGCCTGAAAAAGGGACGTGTGCTCTTTTCCTGATTTATGGTACCCGGAGTTGGGACAGTGGGAGAAGGGAGTGCTGTGTGGGTGTAGGTGTATACCCTAAAGGACTTTGCTATTTTAGTGGTGGCATTAGGCCTGAATAGCATTAAATAAACATTTTGCTTCCTTTTCACAAATCTCTGGCATTAAGAGATGTCTTTCCAATTGGCGGCGGACAGAAGGGCCCAGTAGATTCTAGTATTTTGTTTTTGGGAGGGACCCCTGTTGTATAACAGTTTTGGGCATCCCTAGGTGGGCCAAATATTGTATTGCCCCTCCCTCGGACCTCTTGTTCGGTAACAGTGGCCTCTCATGTGCCCCCTACTAGGGGCCTGGCCCACAACCCAGGTATGTGCCCTAGACTGGGAATCAAACCAGTGACCCTTTGGTTCACAGTCCGGTATTCAATCCACTGAGCCACACCCAGCTAGGCCTGAGTGTTACATCTTTTACCACCAGAGCAAACTGAAATGTAGACAACCCGGGCAGTCTATTATTTATTTATTTTAATTTTTTAATTTATTTTTTTTAGTCATTTAAGAGTCACTGAATGGACCAATGTGCCATCAACGCAGGATCTTAGGTGAATGGTTGTTTTTCTAATTATCAAGATTCAGTGTTTCAAGATCATTGTGTTTCCTTTTTGGGATTCCACCTCTAAAGACTGAAGACAGTAGACGAGGTCTTCTCAAAAATCAAAGGCTCAGCAAAGAACAGGCAAGATAGCACAGAAAAAAAAATACACACCCTCAATTGCTGGATATTTGCTTCAAACTTATCCGCCTGAGATCTCGGGGTTCAGAGGAAGTCAAGGAAGCATGTCAGAATGATGAGGTCTCAGGCCCTCCCCCACTTGCGGGAAGGTTTTCTAACAAAGAAGAAACATTCATCCTGCCTGCATTCTATATTCATTCTATACACATTCGCACCAAAAAAATCAGGATTGAAGTTCGCTTGGATGTCAGCAAGCTGGTTAATAAGAGACAGGTCTAGGGTGCCCACAAGGAAGTTAGGCAATATTTAACTTGGGTTAGGATTTCTCAACGAAGGGTCAGAGTGCCCAGGAAATATTGAAGGGGAACCTAACTGCAGTCTCAGGGCATCAGTGCCCTGAGAGCAGCAATCTGGCATCCCAGCAACACTTGTTCCTTACGGCAATCTATACAAGTTATGCATTCACACGTAAGCACTTTGCTCTTCACTCCCTATGTTCCTTATTTACCTTTTTTCCCTATTTATTCATTTTCAATGTTTCATTGTGGCCAACTACACATACCACAACATTTACCCATCTTATCCCTTTTGAAGTGTACAGAAGTATTAAGTACATTCAGTGCTATGCAACCAACCTCCAGAACTCTTCGTCTGTCAAAACAAGCTTGTACGCCTTAAACACTGACTCCCCAGTCCCCACCCCTCCTGCCCGCAGCGCTGGGCAACCACCATTCTACTTTCTATCTCTATGAATCTGACTACATTAGATACTTCACACAAGGGGCATCATATAGTATTTATTTTTCTTTTCATGCTTGGCTTATCTCGCTTAGCGTAATATCGTCAAGTCTCTTTCAAGAATTTTTTCATTTGTGTTAACACTTAAAAAACCTGTATGGCATGACAGTAACTACTTAAGGAAAGAGAAGGTTTCTTTCCCCTTCCGAGTATATGATATTGTTATAGTTCAGGCCCTGAACAGAGCTAGTTTTTTCAGTTTCGACCTGGCTTACTTTAACAGGATGAGGTTCTGTTTATTGTGAGGTGTGTATAGTCTCATGTTTGTTAACTTTGTGGTCCTTAATATTTTGTTATTGAAGTGTTGAGGTAAACAACTTTTATCCCCTAAGGTCTACTTTTTAAACCTTCCATCCCCTCTAGAAATCAGTGTGCCAAGCTAAACCAGCTTGACGGGAGTAATGATACACAGCGCTTGTTTCCAAAGACAAGTATTGTTGGGAGTAGCAAAACTGTGAGCCGACCCAGGCTTGTTGTAAAGCCATTCTGAAAGCAGCTCCAAGGTTTGTGAATGGACATGTAGTGTGCAAGCCACATTCTGCTTTTTTAAAAGGTTGTGACAAATACAGATGAATTAAACAGAAAAAGAAAAACAAATATCGTCAGGTTTCATCCATGTTGTTACAAGTGTCAGGATTTCCTTCCTTTTTGAGGCTGAATAATGTTCCACTGAATGAAGAGCCCACATTTTGCATATCCATTCATCTGTTGGACACTTGGGTTGCTTCCACATTTTGGATGTTGTGACTAATGCTGCTGTGAGCCCAGGGGTACAAATACTTCTTCAAGGCCCTGTTCTCAATTCCTTGGGGTATATACCCAGAAGAGGGATTGCTGGATCATACAGTCATACTAGTCTTAATTTTAAAAGGATCTACCACCCTGGTTTCCATTGTCCTCCATATTTTTAACAGCATTTAAATCCTGTGAAACTTTCTCCTCCCCCATGGGACAATTTTGTGACTATAAAGAACTTATTGCCCTAGGGAGGGATAGTGCAGAAGCACTGGGATACAAAGTTTTGGGAACTCCGATAAAAAGACAAAAGAAGCTGTGTGTCCGCTTTCGAGTTCTACGTAGCTCCTTCCATAAGTAGTTATTATGTATCTAGTGCATGATAGATGCTGAGCCTAAAGAGATACTCTCTGCCTTGAAGGAGGTGCCAACCAGTAGAAGGAAGGAACACAGACAAGAAAGGGGCCGATTACATTCCTTAAGGACAGACATCATCGACTAGGGGACACAGATAGGAGGGACACAGATAGGAGGAACACTGAAACCAAATCTGGGCTTGCCATCCTCTGGCCAGCTCCAGCTGCTTCCTCACCCCTTCCCTGCACTTTGTTAGAGGGCTCATTCTTTAGCACAGCTCTCAGCAAGACAGTCCCTCATTTTCCTGCTTAGGGCCCTTCAGGGCTTCCCTTCCACTCTCAGGATGTAGCCAAGGTCCCTGGCCAGCTAATAAAACACCCCCTTCCGGCCTCTCTTGTGCCCTGACTGAACTACCTAGAGGCACCGCCCATTTCACAGCTCGGGGCCTGTGCTCCTGGCTTATCTCTCACCATGAGTGGTTCTCCATCCTCACTCTAAATCCAAACCGCCTGGAGAAATTAAGCAGCAAAACACCAAAAACAAACAACGCCAGGCCCTTATTTGATAGAATGACATCAGAATGAATTAAGAGTGTCTGAAGGTAGGCCTGGGTATTGTTTCAGCTCACCAGGTGATTTGGATTTAAACCAGAGCTGCCACCACTGCACAGGCACAAGTCCCTTCTGGCAGCAGAAGTGACCCAGGTATGCTGCCACCAGCCCAAAGACAGCTCCCATCCTGCTCCTGGACCGAACACACAGAACCTCCCAAATGCGGTTGCTAGATGAGCCCCCGACAAATCAGAAAATAGTAAAAACATCTGCCATGCAAAACCACTCTGAGACCTTTCCCTACAAATTACAAGTGGTGGCTGCCATGTTGTGTCAGGATGCACCTGATTCCCTTATTCATTCCTTCACTCACCTCTTAACAGCAGAAGGCAATGCACATTTATGGAGCAACTCACGTGCTGTACACAGGCATGTCCCCTCAGTCCTCACAAGAACTGAGACGGGCTTATCTCCATCTTACAGATGAGGAAACCTGTTAAAAACATCAAGCATTTGCACATTGCTTTTTCATGGCACATATCACATTAATATTTTTATTGCCTACCTTCCCTCATAAGACCATAAGAATAACGTCTGTTTCATTCACTGATATACACCTGGCAAACATCTGGCCAGTGCTCACTATTACTCGACAAATATTCTTTAAAGATTTATTATTTATTAGAGAGAGGGGAAGGGAGGGAGAAAGGAGAAAGAGGGAGAGAAACATCAATGTGCAGTTGCCTCTCAAGCACCCCCCACTGGGGACCTGGCCTGCAACCCAGGCGTGTGCCCTGACAGGGAATCAAACCACCAACCTTTTGGTTTGCAGGCCAGTGCTCAATCCATTGAGCCACACCAGCCAGGGCTCAACAAATACTTTTTGTTAAATGAGTGAAGAGGTGAAGAGCAACCAGGATGCTCTCTCCTGTGTGCTTGTGAGCTTCATTCTTTTCACTACAGATCATCTCGCTTGTACCCACTGCACCTAAGCTCAGGGTCCTCTCAGCTTCTTTCACGACGGACCAAACTCATCTCAATTCCAGCCTAAAAAAGTCACTAACTAAAATTCTAGTTTTAAAAAAAAAGCATCATGTGTACTGTAAGCTAATCCAGGGGGCTTTAGGGGCTCTAGGAGTCAAGTCATTTGAGGATAAGAAAAGGTACAGTTCCCAGAAGTGGTGTGTGTTGACCACACTGGGTAACTTTCATGACCATTCGGCACCTCATTTTCCTCATCTACAAAATGAGGGAAATCCAACATCCTAGGATTAATGTGAGAATTAAACAAGATAGTCCTTACAAAGTCCTTAGAACTACACTTGTCGCACAGTAAGTCTGACTGACAATTACACAAGCCCACAATGAAAAGGTTTAGCATGTATCTACCATACCAGGCATTATTCTAGAACAGGGGGTTGGCAAGCTTTTTCTTTAAAGGACACAAAAGTCAATGTTTTACTTTACAGGCCATCTGATCTTGGTGTGCACTACTCAACTCTGCTGATCCTGTAGCAGGAACACCAGCCACTGATGATACATAAGTGAATGGGAAGGGCTTTGCTCCAAGAAATCTTTTTTTCAAAGACAAGGAGGCTAGATCGGGCCGCAGGCCACAGTTTGCTGATCCGTTTTAGAGCAGTGCTCTCCAATAGAAACATAATGCACGCCGCCGAAAGAATTTAAAATTGTCTAGTAGCCATGTTAAAAGACAAACAGGTGAAATTAATAATACATCTTATTTAACCCAGTGCATCCAAAATACTGCCACTTGAACATGTAACGGACATAAAAAGTATTGAGATACTTTATATTTTTTCATACTAATTCTCAACAGTTTGCTGTTTTATACTTCTTTCACAAGTCAGTTTGGACTAGGCACATTTTCAAATACTAAATACTATAAATAGCCTTATGTAGCTAGTGGCGACCATTCTGGACAATGTAGTTCTAGAGCATACGCAAATACAGATAATGCTTAGATAACCACCTATACTGCCAGCTTCTGAATACATATCAAAAACAGAGCTTATACAGCGCCAGCAAGAGCAGGCCCTAAATATCTGTTGACTGAATGTATGTGAAAGCTTGTAAATATTAACTAATACTACAGTATGGGCGAGGTGCACACGTCGGCACATCTTTGGCCCAAACCCAGAAGAACGGAATAAGCAAAGGAAAATTTCCAAAAGCTGGTAACAAATCAGCAGTAACCTAGATATGTGTAGATCTTTACACCTCTCCAAGATCTAAAGAGAAAATTTAACGTTCTGGCTATAACGGACATACACTTCTCCAGCCACACAAGGAGCCCCTTCCCCGCATAGAGAGAAGTGCCAAAGGTTGGTAAGGGCGTTCAAGTATCTGAATTGTCACTCAATAATGCGCTGGGGCCCTCTTAGGTTATGCTGATCCCTAGCAAAGTTGCATCGAGGGGAAGGGATCAGCCCAAAAGCCCGCCAGGGTTCCCGTTCTAGGGGCTGAGGTGGAGTGACCAGCAAAGCCTGCTGCCAACTATCCCAGGGTGACAGTCTGGCACCAAACACAAGCACCGCGGCCCCGAGAAATCTGGCCACCCTGGCGACTTCATCTGGGGGAGAGGAGGGGTCGAAGGAACATTGGACTCTACCCAGCGCCGAGTACATCAAGACCCTCCCCCTCCTCGCTTCGCCCCTCCCCCTTCCCCCCTCCTCCTTTCAACCCCCCTCCCAGCCCCAGAAGTCCCGCCCAGGGAGTACACAGACCCTCCCCGAGCAGGGGGTGGGCAGAGATCCAGGCAAACTGAACCCGCTCAGGGCTCACCGAGAAGATTAGGCTTAGGAAGGGAGCCATCAGCGGCCTCCAAGTCTAGAGAGAACTCCTGGTTCCCAGGGCAAGTCCAGAAAGGCTCAACCAATCAGAGCCCGCAGTTTAGAGAACAAGGCCTGCATTGAGCGCATGTGTGCTAGGGAAATAGCGCCTGCGCAGAGCGATCAGTGGCTCTAGGGCAGCCTTTCTGCAGCTGTCTCTGGAGGATGTCGGACCAGGGCCCAGAGTCCAGCTTCAGAACTGGAATTGAAAAAAACTGCGCGACTAACGTTTTTGAGCAGCAGTGTTGAACTCCTCAACAACATACCCTTTCTGCTTCCAGTCAAGACAGTGCTCAGTTAAATATTGACAAAACTTCGGACAAAATGTTATCTATTTAACACAGTAATTAATTCCTCAACTATTTATTTCACCCCGGGCATACTTTAGTTGATGTGAAAGTGGTAGACATTCATTAAGCAGCCATGTGCTTTCCACACTAATCACCTGTACACATCTTTCCCTGCAAGGTTCCAATAAAACCAAAGTGATGGCAGGACTAGGGAATGCAGCAACCTTCTCTGCCGATCCCCTCCTGTAAGGCAACTTGGGAGAAGGTGCACAGAAGCAGGGCTTTCCTCTGGACTGGATGCTGTCAGGAAGCAGGGTGATTTTATGAATCAGCAGTGTAATAAACCTTACCTAGAAGGAGGGAAGACGAGACCAAGACTGAAGCAGTAATTAACAATTTTTTAAAAAGCAGCAGTGATAACACTTTTGAAATACTGTAGGTCCATTCTGGATGTAACCCAATAGACTAGTTTCAAAAGTTTATTGCTGTAAGATTGTTTCTATTACAAAAACAAAGTGAGACATCTATAAATCTAATTTATTGAACAAGCTGGGCTTTGTAGGGGGTATGTAAGAAAAAACTCATTTTTTCCCTCACTATTGCCTTCAAACAAGGTCTGTGGTCTTTCTCCCCCCCCCCACCAAGGGCTCCTCCAGGGCTGGAGCTTGAGGCCTGAGCAAACCCCACAACTTTTCCAATTACTGTCAGGTACAAAAAATCATTTTTTTTTTTCAAAATGATTTAGGCTGTTAAAAAGTCCTTTCTGCCCTGGCTGGTGTGACTCAGTGGCTTGAGTGCCGGCCTGTGAACCAAAAGGTCACCAATTGGATTTATGGTCAGGCACATGCCTGGGTTGCAGGCCAGGTCCCCCAGCTGGGGCTCTGTGGTGGCAACCAATTGATGTATCTCTCACATATTGATGTTTCTCTCCCTCTTTGTAAAAAGTAAATAAATAACATCTTTTTTAAAAGTCCATTGTAACTTAACATAAAATGTTCAATTATTCTTCCAATTCAAAGCTCTAACCTTCCCTCAGTTCAGGTGTGTTTTGTAACTCTGTGAAATAGCAAAGGGAAAGACATATGGGTTGGTTTCCTCATTCACCTTATCGTACCCTTTTCTGCTTATTCCACTGTTTTCTGATCTCTCCTGGGTGAGGACAGGAGGAGAAAGAAGTGACTTAAAAAAGTCTTATTTGATTAGTGTTGTAGGTTGAATGGTGGTTCCCACCCCCTCCCAAAAGATATGTACACTTCCTAACCCTCAGAACCTGTGAATGTGACCTTATTTTGGAAAAAAGAAAAGAGGCAGGAGGGGGTGATCTTTGAAGATGCAATTAAGTTAAAGATCTCAAGATGAGATCATCTTGGATTATCCAACCAGGTGGGCCCTAAATCCAATGACAAGTGTCCCTATAAGAGGCAGAAAAGGAAGAAACACAGAGGACAGACGAGAAGGCCAAGTGGAGACAAAGATGGACATTGGAGTAAGGCAGCCACAAGCAAAGGAACTACTGGAGCCACTAGACCTGGAAGAAATGGGGGATTTGCTTTGGAAGGAGAGTGGTCCTGCTAATCCCTTGAACTTGAACTACTGGCTCCAGAACTTTGAGAAAATGAATTTCAATTCTTTTAAGCCACCCATAATGGCAACCACAGGAAACTAATATGATTAATGATGTTGTTACCTAGAACTGGAACTCTGTTCTAATGTCCGAAGGCTGCCTCTTTTCTCCTTTGTATAGGTTCACTTTGGGGGTTTTTTCAGAGCCCACCCTCCAGCTGGGGGCCCTTTCTCACCTATTTTCTGGTTGAGATGATACACTGGTTGACCCCTAGCTCCCTAGCATGACTCATCCAACCTTTTTCTGTTTGGTCACTGCATCTGCAGAGAGGCCCCTCGGGCAAGGTCCTTCAAAAACAACCTAAGCCCAGCTACTTGCTTGATACGTGCTTAGCCCATAGGAAAACCCCAGCTACCCACCACCACAACTAATCCCTGGAAGCAGAGGCTGCTCCCTCTGCAGCTACTCTCTTCACTGTCATAGATAGTCTTAGGCAGCCCCAGTGGGCTTCTCACCTGTTGAGTTTTTCGGGAGAGTCAAGCACCATCTCTTGTGCCCTTTCATGAGAGGGGAACCTGTCAATCTCTCTGAGTGGTTCTCTCAAACTCCCTCCACTTGCCTGGAAGGTGGGAGAAAGCTTGCAGAATTCTAACAGGCCTTTTTCATTCTTGCCTTCTCTTTTACATAAGCGGGGAGAGGGGTCATGGATGGCAGATGTAGTTTGGGTTCCCCACTTAGCCCTGTGTAGATTGTCTAGCATGTCTCTTTAGAATCAGTGGGTACTTAACAGCGTGTTCCCTGTTGGTGTCTTGGGCAAAACTCCAAGTCAGGAAGAGTTCCATTTAACACCCTGTGTACCTGTAGTAATAATCTTTAGGTCATTTTCATACCTCTTCTTCTCCTTTCCAATGCCATTAGTCCATTTTGTCATTTCTCTAGAATGTGAGTTATTCTACCATAGATTTGTAGCAACAGATTAGCAGAGAAATGAAGGACCAGCAAGTCTGGCTTTTAAATTGCTCCTTGGTGCACGTCATAGGATGGAAATTCAGAGGCAAGGAAATAATATTTATAATACTTGGCTACTGGGGAGGCTTCGAAATTTCATTTAATTTGAAAAATATAGCAAAACTACAGACTTCTGGTCAAGATGGTGGCGTAGGCAGACATGGGTAGTTTCTTCCCACAACCACATCAAAATTACATCTGAAATATAGAACAACCATCACTCATAACCATCAGAAGTCAAGCTGAATGGAAGTCTCATGACTATGGAATTAAAGAAACCACATCAATCCAGACTGGTAGGAGGGGCACAGACACAGAACAGGCTGGTCCCATATCCACTTGTGGTGGACAAAAATTCAGGAGGGATATCTCTGGAGTGAGGAGTCCCAGCCCCACACTAGGCACCCCCAGCCCAGAGTTCTAGTCCCAGGAAGAGAAGTCTCCACAACTTCTGGCTGCAAAAACCAGTGGGGATTGAGTCAGTGGAAAAAAACTTCTGGAGCCCCAAGCAGTTCCTCTTAAAGAACCCACACGTGGACTCACCTACTCAGACTCATACCCTCTGAGCTTCAGCACTTGGGTAGCAAGGTGAAAGGCACCAGTGGTACACAGGGAGGAAGTGAAGTGTCTGGCAACAAGGCAAGCAGAGGCCATTGTCCCTTTTCTGAACCTTCCCCCCACAGAGCCACAGAGCTAGCAGGCTGGTGCCATATCTGAGACTCCATCAACCTGGCTAATACTGTTTGCCCTGCCTTGGAGATCCCCTGAGAATCTGCCCTACCCAACTTACGGGCCCACCCAAGCTGCTTTTCCATATGAATGGCTGGTCTTGGCTCATGCTGCACAACTTCCTAAACCCTCTCAAACAAGCAACAGCTGGCTTCAGTGAGCCCCAGGCCTGGTACTAGCAGTAGCCAGCATAGATTCACAGCTTGGCTTCACCTGGGAATCTCCAAGCCCAGCACAAGTAGTAGTCATCTCAGTTTCCTTTATAACTCAGGGAGAATGTCCCCAGACAAAACACAGATGGGGGTTGACCTTGGCTTGTACCACCTAGGAAACTCCAGAGCCAGCACACCCAGTGGACAGCTATAGACCATGAAAGAGCTCCACCGACCTGCCCCTGCACAGCTGATCCTCCACGGAAGGCAGAGGGTGGTGCTCAGTGGTCATGGCCAGTCCTTGCAGCTGACCGGCCTGGGTAAATCCCCTCCATTGACCTACCAACAGCAAACCCGGCTCAACTGCAAGAGGAGGATGTACTCAACCCACACGAAAGGTGCACCAGCTTGGGTGAAGAGGAGGCTGTGCCACTGGACCCTATGGGACACCTACTACATTAGGCCACACTACCAAGACACAGAGTCAAAGCAGTTGTATCTAATACATTAAAAACAAACATAGGGAGGCTTCCAAAATGAGGAGACAAAGAAACATGGCCCAATTGAAAGAACAGATCATAACTTCAGAAAAAGAACGAAATGAAATGGAGGTAAGCAATCTATCAGATGCAGAGTTCAAAACACTGGTTGTTGTAGACCGCTCTGCCTGGTTCTAGGAATTGTATCTCGATCCCTTGTGGCTAAGGGCAAGGGATGACCTTTGGAATGCCAGCCGCAGGAGACAAAGCCTGTCTCTGGTAGCAAACGCTGCCTCAGTTCCTCTCCCTGCCCCCAGAGCTTGGTCGGAAGTCAATGATGGGTAAGACCCCTCACAGCAGGGGCAACCTAAGCCAGACTCGATCACTTGGGAGGCCTTCATGGAAGGACTCAGGGGGCTGCAACAAAGAGCAATAGACTCTCGCCCCCCGGCTTTGACATAGCCTGAGTCCCCATTGTCCTCTGGGAGAAGTGCTTCCTGGCTCTAATCCCCTTAAGCCTGAATACCTGATGGGGAGAGGTGCAGCTCCTTGCCTTGCTAGAGCGTGTCCCGGGGAAAATCTGGCATCACAAAGACTTCCTGATAAACCTTTGAAATCTGCTCTGCTAAGAGTGCTTTGCATTCATATGTGAAGGGTTCGAGCAGGAAACCCTAAAACTCTGTTCCTGACAGACTCTGAAGCCCTCAGATTTCTTTGAAATGTTATCTACTGTTTGATCCTTGCCGCCTGTATTTCTGTGTATTACAACCCAATAAAAGCCCTGGAGGAGGGGGCTTGAGGCCTTTTTATCCTCGGAGAAACTGGCCATTGCTCA